TTTTGACACATTGTTGACTAGTTCTTAGGAGAATTGGGATGGCAGTTCTCAGGAGATCGACTTATATCGAAGTTAATATTTCATATGTTTGAAGTGGATCATTGGGATATATATCTGTGTAGCTGTATCAATCAAAATTTTAGATGAATCAAATCAATCAAGATTTGTCGAATTAATCAAAATTTTCTGAATTAGATTAATCAAAATTGAATTAATCAAACTAACACTAGAACTACCGAGCATTTAATACGATTAATATGCAATTCATAAAAATTGTAACAGTAGATTATTTTCAGTTTCTTCAGACATTCGTTATAGTACTGAAATTAAGCTATTTATTTTCGAAATCATTTCGAATATTCAATGCTTCGAAGATATCGATAATTGCTAAACAAAAAAATCGAAACCAGTCATTTTGACTGGTACGTAGTTCTAGTGTTAAGTACTGTGGTAATTTGGAAAGTACATGAAAACGAGATCTCTCGTTACGTGATGTGCTAAAATGGCATCTAAAGTCGCATCAACTCATGTTTGGGGATATATTTAATAGAATATAATTACAACAGAGAATAGTTTTCCTTAACATCTTAACATTAGAGCTACTAAATGGATCAAAATGGCGAATTCCTGATTTCTTCTGTTACAATTGCTGTAGAAGTATAGGTATTTTTAAACCTATCAAGCAGTGAAACTAACTTTTTGATATTCCTATAGAAGTTCCAAGTATTTCTCTATGTAAAATCATGAACAGACGGTGGATTGTGAACAGGAGAGCGTGGATCAGCGATTAAAATGATCTCGTGGACACAGTGAAACGAGGGAAAAGGGAGAACGTATAGAACAAAGTGGAAATTGGCCCGAAATATCCGTTTCCGACGTACGTCGTCGCTAAACAGCGCGCGGAGAATAATAAACTCGGTACGCGGCGCAATAAAATCTCTAGTTCTGCGCAAGTTCACTGTGTAATGGACTATAAATGTTAACTAGGCCCCCCGTTACGTAGAGCGCGCACTTTTGTTCCGTTAAACATGGTAAGTAGCTTTCTTGGAAAGAGATACCTTACAATTCACCCTTCTGCCGCGGAGTTCTCGGGTTTATTGTTAACGGGCCTGCGCGCGTAATGGCGGCAGAATTATTAGGAGTATTTAATGAGATCGCGCGATTGTTAGCCCCGGCGGGATCTACTCGGGGGAACTTAAAAAAGTATTTCTTTCCGCAGTATCCGGTGCGAACATCTTGTAACATTGTAACTTCTGTTACTGAGATCTCGAATCTGTCGACTAACCTTGCGTGTATGATAATTGAGAACTATTGAAAATATATTCTCCGTAGTCAACACTATTACCGTTTCATTCGTTAACGAATGCCACGCGATTTCAAAGAGCAAAGCACACGAAATGGAAAAAATATATCATTCGATATTGCATTAAGGTTATTTGTACTGTACAAATGTTTTCAAGCAATCGTTCCATTAACATTAACACCGAGCAGTAAAATTCTTTTAATTTAAGTTAAATTTCAACCTTTTGAAATTTCTCTATAGAAACACCAAGAGATCTATCGAGGCTTCAGTCGATTTACAATTCAGTTTGATCGGTAAATCAAATTCTTCAATAGTTTCTCAGAGAAACATCTGTTACCTTTTCAATAATTACACAAAGACATCAGGAATCATTTTGGCTCGTCTGGTAGCTTTAATGTTAATTGAACTACAGTAATTCGATTTGGTTCACCGGTGACCTGTGCATTCAACCTGTTAACCCTTTGCACTCGAAAGTTTCCCATTAGAAACATCCAACATTCTCCGAGATATAGACGCTACAGTTCGAAACTAATTCAACGATAATTCAACAAAGTTATTTTATTTAAATATTTCACACAGCAATACAAAGTTTAATTCAAAATACTAAATATTCATTTTCGCTGTATCGAATCAAGTGGCGAGGGTCACCTCTCGAGTGCAAAGGGTTAATATTTACGACACCACACGCAATGCGAGAATTTCCAAGTTAAACGAAACTCAGAGATCAATGAAGCGCGAAGGCGAGTAGAAATGACGAGTGCGCTCGTAATCCCCGGCGAACGGGTCAAATGTCCGATCGAACGAGATTTTTCGAACAATAAAGCTGTCAAGCAGGCGATCAAGTTATTTTTTCTCCGGCTCGACGCGCGCGTCCGATTCTTGTGGGAGCGGAGCGCGTCCGATAGCCGAACGCCGGTTCGTTAGAAGACGTAGCAGGAAAGTTGGTAATATTAACAAGCACGTTACCGTCAGCCCATAATGGGATAGCTTTCCGATGCGTCCCGGAGGCGAGAGTTACGTTCGAGCTGAAACGGGTAACGGGATTCCCCGACTTTGATCGCGCCATCGAGCATTTCCACTCGACAAGGGATTACCGTGACAGAAAGACAGAATGCAAGCGTGGAAAACGTTTACTTACGAGGCTTCGTGGGCTCCGGCGGCGGTACCTCGGTCAACTGCGAACAGAAACGAATTTATTCAAATTAAAAGTCATTCAGCCGTTCCGGCGACCCCATTCATTCGAGCATTCCCGGATTTTTCCATAGAATTTTGATGGATCTATCGGAACTCGAACTCTGAATCGACTTGGCGAGAGTTACGCTATTTTCAGTCTTAAATGTTCTAAGTTGATTTGAATGGAAGATTCAGATTATTAAACCTTTGCACTCGGAAGTTTCTGCCTGGAAATAGTTAACATTTTCCAACGAGATATTTCATAGATAAATTAAGCTACAAAGTTATAGTATTAAAATACTAAATATTCATTTCATAATTTTGCTGTGTCAAATCGAATGGTCACCTCTCGAGTGCAAAGGGTTGAAGTTCAATAACTTATTCTAGATTTATTGAAATTACAGAATCAACACGTCGTAAGAATTACTCTAAATTTTAACTTAAGCCTAATTTATCAATCTCAAGGATTGAAATTATCAGAGTTCAATAACTTATTTTAAACTTATTGAAATTACAGAATCAACTCGTCTTAAGAATTACTCTTCTAAATTTTAACCGTTTAAACCTAATTTATCAAAATCAAAGATCCAAATCATCAGAGTTCAACACCTGATTCCACTTTTTCCCACTTCTCCCTTTAATTCCAATTTCCCCAAATCGAAGGCTAATCCTTAACTCCTTGCAACTTTGCTCACTACAGACAATTATATCATACTACCCCAACAATCCCACCGAATCTATCAAAATGCTTCAATGCCCTAACTCATTCTAATCGCTCGAATCACTCTCACAATTTCCTCCATCAATCTCATTACATCCAAAACCATCATCTCGTCCCAACTCGATTCGTTTCCCCAGTTTCACACCATTCCAACGTCGAAAAAACGTTTAACCCTTTGAACTCCATAGCCTCCAATATCGCACCAATATCAAATATTCTACCAAATCAAAGAAACTACCCTAAAATTATTAAATTCCCCACACATCCAAATTTAATACTGAGAAGAAAAATAAAAGATCGAAGGAATGTTACAGCATTCGTAATGTCCACTAGGGATACCATAAAAATTAGCGATAAATTCCAAAACCATCCGGAGTGCTAAGGGTTAAACGGCCGCGACGACTCTCCGAAGCGCGCGGAATTCTTCCGTTTCCGGCGATAAAAATTCCTGCGCCCCGCCTAATTGTCAAACGCGGCTTAAATATGCCGCATCCAGATATTGCGTCTCGCGCGGTTCGCCAAAGAGAAATTTCGCGTGTCGCGAGTGAAATTCCGCGGGAAAGAAAGCCGGCCGAGCCGAAATTAATCCGCCGATATCACGGGCGCGCGGTGTTTTTCCTGTTATCCGGCGACGGCGACGAGCTCGCCCACTTCTTCGGCCCTTTCTTCCCGCCGCCGCGCGGCTTTCGAGACCACGAAACTCTTGACACGGCGCCAAGTGGCACGAAAACCAGCTTGCCTCTTCGGCCCGAAACGGAACGCCTTCCGGCGTCGATCGATCGAACGCATAGTAGCTTCGCGAGTATTTAGCGACTCGAACGGCCCACCGAAATCACTCGATTTAACGGTGCTCCGGTTTCGTGCGGTAAGGTGTTGATTTTCGGGAGATCGTTACGTTTCTCAGCGCTGAAACCGGCGAATCGACTTTTGGGAATTCTGTGGACACTGCGAGAGGATCTATTGAGATGATGTTTAGTGATTTAGAATTCAGTTTGCGTATGGAGCACTTTATCTGATAATCTCTCGGATTATCTGTTATCGGTAATCGTAAAAAGGAATGGCTGATTTTAAGCTAGTTCTGTTAGACTGTTGATTATCTTCGTGCTTTGATCTCAGATGAGAATATTTGTGATTATACTCGTGAAAGGTTTTATATTATTAACACTAGATTTACGGAACCCGTCAATTTGACGGATATTGAGGTTTTTAAAGATTATTCAGTAATAGTTTCAGTCGATTTTGATTCGTGCAATTAGGCGAATATTGCAATGCTTTAGTATTGAAGCTACAATTTTCTCGATTTATATAGACGAACGCGCAGTTTTCTAAGAACAATAGAATAAAGTGTAGAATGAACGTCCGTAAATCTTGTGTTAATAACGGTGTTAGTCATGATTGTATTAGCAAAAAATGTTAGTGTAATGCTTACGAGTTACTGTATTTTTAGTGTTACAGTTTCGACAAGTGACATTTAACTCGTTCTTTCGCGTTCTTTCAGCCACTGGAGATTTTCAAAACGCAGTCACACTATTTTCCAAACATCCCAGCGCCGGTCGTCGCAATACGACCTTCGCCCTCACGCACGCACGACAAACCATTCGGCCTACATTACTTCAATCTACGCTAAATATTCTAGATACTACGTATTGCATTCTGGTACTGAAACTCTTCCCCCGATATCGCTCCATCGAGACTAACTATCACGGAATCAATGATCCAGCCGCTCAGTGGATCCACTAACCACCGGTAGATAGTACAACAGCCGAGCAATCGGCGAAAGCCATCAGTACCGCAACGAAAAACGCTCGGGCCGAGCCGACCCGAGGCGGGCGTCTCTTGACGACGTGCCAAGTGGCACGGAACACGATCGATACGCGATTCGAAACGTTTCCACGATCGATATCCGTCCTACGATTCGATTCGTATCGCACCTCGACACCGACCGTTCGTATTTCGCATCCATTCTAACGTCCGATGTGATATAACGTCTCAATCTTCCCGGCGGAACTCGGAATGGCGAAACCGGGCAGGATCGGTTGCTACTTTCCTAAGTTATTCCCATACCGGCGACCGATATCCGTATTCCGCGGAGCACCGTGAATAAACAACTAGTTTCCTTCTGCTCCTTTCTTTCTTTCTTTCGCTCTTTGACTTACCTTCACCAGCACGGGATTGAACATGAACTTTGTCTCGAGCTCCTTCCTCGGCGTCTGGGCGATGGCCGTCAGAGGCGTGGGCGGCACTGTCATTTCCTGGAACAAGCGACAGAACGATTAAGATCTGGTTCGGGGAGAATTTATTTATTAACTTTGGAGTTTAGCGAGGAATTTTTTGGGAAGCGATAGGATGATTGAGACTTATTTTTGTTGCCATTTATTAACTTTGGAGTTTAGTTAGAAATCTGGTGAAACAAGCGATCGAATGATTAAGATTCGGTTCGGGTAGAATTTGTTTATTAACTTTGGAGCTTAGTGAGGAATTTTTTGAGAGAAACGATCGGATGATTGAGACTTATTTTTGTTGCCATTTATTAACTTCGGAGTTTAGTGAGAAATTGTATGAAACAGCAGCGATCGCATGATTAAGATTTGTGTCTGCTATTTACTTATTTTTGTGGAATTCAGTGAGAAATTTCCGGAAACACGACCGCGCGATTCAGATTTATTTGTTGGCTTTGGAGTTTACTGAGAACTGCATCGCATTTTATCGACAGAAAGATACGGGTTAATTAGTTTCCGCAGTTCTGAACAACCGGAATCGAAGTTGATATACCGAATAACAATGATGACTTTACTTCGGTTCTTCGTAATTGTTTCAAGCATCGAAATCTATGTTACAACTGTTTCCAACCCCAAGTCGCGCGTAACCTTATTGATATTAGTATAACCTTATTGATAACAGTAAATCAGCATCCTAAATGAGGCGAGAATCGTCCAATCAAACGCACATTCCTCGGCCCAGCAATGAACGATCTCCCAACAGTACTTTTGCGTAAGACCGTCGCATCTGGGCCACGATTACGTCAATGGCTGGCCAGAGAGGGCGACGAATTCCGCGTATCGTCACCCACTCGTAGCAGGGCGGCTCGAGTAGCTCGCCCGTTAACACTACCGTACCCGTCAGAATAACGGACTCTAGTTTCATTTCGCAATTATTGGTATTCGAACACCAGATCTGTATACCAAACAAATTATACTTGTATCGACTTCTATAAACTTCGAATAATTCAATCATTTCGACAAATTTCGATTAACACTAGAACCGTACCCGTCAGAATAACGGTCTCTAGTTTCATTTCACAATTATCGCAATTATTGGTACTTGAACACCAGATCTGAGGAATAAACCAATTACACTACTGACTTCTATAAACTTCGAATAATTCAATCATTTCGACAAATTTTGATTAACACTAGAACCGTACCCGTCAGAACAACGGACTCTAGTTTCATTTCACAATTATCGCAATTATTGGTATCTGAACACCAGATCTGCGGAATAAACCAATTACACTACTGACTTCTATAAACTTCGAATAGTTCAATCATTTGGACAAATTTTGATTAACACTAGAACTACCGCACCCGTCAGAATAATGGACTCTAGTTTCATTTTGCTATTATTCGTATCTGAACACCAGATCTGCGGAATAAACCAATTACACTACTGACTTCTATAAACCTTACAACGAACGTCCGAAAGAAGATCGAAAGGGAAATGTTTCGTTAGAATTTTTCTACGGATAACACATCAACCCCGATAAATGCTCGGCGGTTCTAGCGTTAATGTCGGCCCGCCGGCCGTCCCCGCGAGCAGAGACGGACGGCCGGCAGGACGGACACATACCGGCGGACAGGACACGGTGGAAGTCGCAAACATGCGAACAATGCAGTCTGGTGCATCGGCATGGCGCACCGAACGAAACGCATTTCCACTAGTGAATCGTCGGGACCGATTCATTGACCCGTCGAGACATCCGTCGACGGGGAACAAAGAGCGCCAAGACAAAAGACTCTCGTCGGGAGTGCTTATATTCTTCCTCTACGATCACCGACAGGCCAGACCGTGTTTACCGGCGACCACCGCGACGAATTATACCAACGGGAAAATTCGACCGGTTCGACCACCCACGCGCGGTCCGATCGTGCCGCGGTTTTCGACGGTTTTTCCGAACGCTTGCCGCTATCGCCTCGTCGACGGAGACATTAATCGGTTAACCCCTTTGATTTCTTTCTCAACTGATCGATACGGCTAGTTTGTGATTAATAATTTAGAAAAAGAGAAAAATTCTAGGCATATGTCACGCCTATATTTCCTTTTAAGTATAATAATCGATTACAGAGGAATAATATTTATCTTGAATTCGAATGAACTGAGTAATACATGTATTTGTTGAATCAGATTGAAAATCTGATTAATTTCTGTAATTATTTCTGAATCTTCTGTCGCCTCTTCGATCATTGCAAAAGGAGGAAACCTCGGTAATTTCACTTGTTAAACTTGATTGATATATCAGTGATACAGTGAATTGATCGTTTCGAAGACGAAAAAAAATTTGTAACGCTTTGAACTTTTATTTATGCCAGAAGATTGATAACTGTGGAATTATTGTAACATTATTACTCTCAGAGGAATCGAACCAAATATAGAAAAATAGAGCAACACAGCAACAAAGAAGTAGAACAACAAAATAATAGAGAGATAGAAAACTCAATATTTATACATTCCCGTGTAACGAGTTCATTTTAAGGTTACCAAGCAAGTCGGCGAACGAAAGCGATCAGCGACTCGAAAGCAAACGATTCCCAGAAGGCGAAGATAGAGTCTTCGCGGCGGAGGGAACTCTCGCGGCCGGTACGTGCGAGGTACACCAATCAAACGGCACGAATTATTTGTCCGAAGGTTGACGGTTGCATCGATGAAATGTTTGTCCACGGTGTTGGGCAACCGCGCCGACTCGTTCATCGATGCCCGACCATCTTGGGCGTTTAAACGTTCACGGCTGGCGAGAACTGCCGCGGAGATAACGCACGTGCGTGGAGAAACGCGAGCTAAAAACGTGGCCGGAATGTGTCCGCGGCGGTGTCCACTGTGGGAAAAAGGGGATCGCATTGTCGCGACGCCGGGACACGCTCGCGGGAACGTTCGCGGCGAATGGAATGCGTGTAAAACGGTAATTTTCCTTCCCGAGAAACCTCGCGGCGAGACGGTGCGTGGAAATCGTAGGAAAACCACGCGGACAGTATCATATGTCCGCGGATCCTTCGGAACCAGTTCGTTTCAGGTAAATTAACATTAGGTTTACGGAACGCGTCAAATTGACGCATATTGGATTTTAGAAATATATTGTAAATGTTTACGCCGATTTTGATTGACGCGATCACACTCACGTGTACCCCAATTACCTATCAAATCTCCAGTTTTAACAATCTAAATACAGGAGCATTAATTTTTTTAGGAATAATAGAATGAAGTGTACAATAAATGCTCGTAAAACTAGTGTTAAGTAACTTTCCAAGTGGACCGTTGGGAATCGCTGTTAGAAATTAATATTTAAAAATTGAATTTTTAGAAATTCTATATAGTAAGTTAATAGTGTAACATAAGGATCGCTTGAAATTAACATGAATAATTGAAGGGGTAATGGAAGAGATAGTGTATAATATAATAAATGGAACTATAACGAATGTCCGAAGAAACCGAAAATTATCTATTGCTACAATTTTTATAGGGACTGCATACCAATCGTATTAAACGCTTGGTAGTTCTACTGTTAATTTGATTAATTCAATTTTGATTAATCTAATTTAGAAAATTTTGATTAATTCGATAATTCGACAAATCTTGATTGATTTGATTAATCTAAAATTTTGATTGACACAGTTTCACTTGAATACTACAATGAATATCTGAATAAACCAAAAATTATCTATTGTTACAATCTTTATACGCATTGCATACCAATCGTATTAAACGGTTGGTACTTCCAGTATTAAAAAGAAACTCGCAACTACACAAGAACTCCAAGTATCCATTCATCAAACCGCGAAACCGTCCAACGACTCCGAATCTTCGAATTCTCTTTCAATTCGGCCCGGCGAGCGGCGCGATCCGTTACCAGCGAAATTTCATCCGATTAGCAGTCGCGCGCCGCAGAAATCCGGCCGGTCGAGCGTCCGAGCGGGGAGAAAACACGGCCGGGCGGGATATTATATATTGTCCGCGAAAAAGAATAATGCGAGCGAACGCGCTCGTGCTCGCTCGCGCCGGCGGGGATCGTTCCACGATCATGCATAATGTAACGCGGCGCGTCGCGGATATAACGGTGAAACGGGAATGGCAGCGTTATCCTCCGAGCGGAAACGTACGGCGGAACATTGTTACGAGTCAGCGTTTCGATATTTTTCCGCTCCACATTTTTCCGGGGTGAACGAAAATTGCTCGCGGGTCCCCGGGGCGTCGCTCGTACGCGTCGCGCGCCTTCGGCCGCCCCCCCCCTTCGCCGCGCCTCGCCACAGCCGCGACGCCG